AAACGTTGTACATTTGCTGTCATGTTAAACTTATATTAAAGTTTTTCTTCATTGCCCATTTAAGCAGTCTCCAGCCATTAATAATCTAGAGTTGTTAGTGTCAGGTTTAGTTTGTGCTAGAGAGGTGTGTACAGTACATGATAGACTTAAGTGTGATAATAGTTATAAGAAATGTTAACCAATCTTTATAAAGATAAAATTAAAAATAAAATAACGGCAAAAGATGGTGGGAAATAGAGAAAATGATAATGTGACGCAATATACTGGAAATAAAACCAAGATAGAGAAATTAAAACATGAATAATACTAATAATGTAAAGTTAAAGTGTTTTACGACTGGAAGTTCTTTGTTTGTTTTGATTGTTCACTTACGGTTATCAAAACGTTCCCGTATAATTGTTTTGGTTTGACCTACATATTGTAACTTTCATTTTCGGCATTGGATTAAGTAAATAACGTATTTTGTAGAGTGATTTTGAACTGCTTTTGGTTGTCTTTATCGGAAAATTTGTCCGTTTCCTGCATGAACTTACAGGTTTGGCATCACTTGCTATTGCAAGGATGACTTCCACCTGGTGTCGACTTAAGTGTGAATGCAAAGCTTTATTTTTTCTGAAAGAAACGACAGGAACTTCTGTAAAAATGGATTTTTAGTTGATTATTAAGTTGAAGGAGGTAAAGGTGTTTCTTTAGTAGGTTTTTTAGTTTTGGGTGATATGTAATAACCAGCGGAACACGAGAAGACTTTGTTTTAGGTAATTGTTTCACGTGATATATTGTTAGCTTTGTCAATTTGTTGAGTGATAGTTTAATGTAAGTGTTTCATTGAATGTGATATTGTGTTTGGTGTGTGGGGAATGACAGCTTTGATTATGTAAATATTGAGTTCATCCGTTGGTTTCGCTACAAATCAATATGTAGAACACCATCTTTAATGTTAGGTTTACATCTAAGAAACTTATTTGAGTAGTGGAGTAGTCTAGAGTAAATTTAATATAACTTGTTGTTGTTTGCTATTAAACACAAACCAAACACTTTTCACAGCCTCGAACTACTCGACAATTCCATAACTTTTGTTGTTTATTGTTTGGTTGAGGTTAAGCAAAAAGCTATTTGTGCTCTGGCCATCAAGGGTATCGAAACCCGGTTTCTAGCAGTACAAGTCCGAAGATATACCGCTGTGCCACTGGGGAACTTAATAGAACTGTGGAAGGTGCTAGTATGTCTATTTTTTTATGTCAAACTCAAGGGGCAAGAGCCTCATACATTTTTAATGAACCATTAAACATACCGTAAATATATTCCATGTAATCTGTATACATAATTACAAAAATATCCAATTCATCAAAGTACACACTTATGACAAATGAAACTGTGGTATACCTTTGATATATATATCAATACAACGCCTAAAATATGTTTCGATTTGTCATAAGTATATCATCAAAATTCCATTAGTGTGTCACGCGATTTGACAAAATCTACTTAATTGAAAAATAATTTGTAAGCTATGTTTGTATTAAACCGTTAAAACGTTGTGATTAATATGACTCTCTAAAAAAATGAATACTTTTTTCATTTATTTCATTTTGTACAAGAAGTACGCTTGGAGTATGAAGTATACACGATAACTTTCTCTGACGTCACATGGTACTTTAGTGAAATAAGGAGCTAAGTTTAGCAAATTGTCGATAATATGTTACATAATAGTTTAATATTCGTATTAAATATAGGTTCATAAAATCATATGTGTAACATATGTACAGAAATATTTCAAAATGCAGCCGTTTATAAGACATATAATGTAGTATTACTATCATACATATTAAAAATAAAAGTACACGTTAATTTTACTAAGTATGATTATAAGCTCCAAAAAAAACGCATTTCTTAAATTTAATAAGCCTAATTAAATCCAAAATGTGGTAGTAACTGCACAATACAATCTTTGGCTCCTCAGCTCTACAAAGCGTGGTTTTCGCGAAAGTCGATATAGGCGACTGAGGAAGCTATTTGCCACTGTAAAGTCGCTAAGTGCAGTACCTGCCTGAACGTGAAAACGTCTACTATTATGTGCACGAAGAACATAGCCCGGCCAACCCTTTAAACTCTACACCTTTGAGGCCGAACACTATTGAGAGGTGAGTTCTATTGACAGTAAAGTGTGTTTTTTGTTGTTAGACTAACAGATTGATCACTTTATCGGAGTACATTGTTTGGATCTCATACGAATACTGGGAACTACAACATCCCTCTTCTATCCCACCCAGTCCCCTGAATTCGGTCTCCTTGATATGCAGACAGGGTGTTAAAAAACCAAGGAAAGGTCCATCAAAACTTAAATTGGAAAGGAGCATGAACAGCTTATGAATAACATGGCGTTTTTTTATAATTAGTTAATTGCTGTCTTTTGCAACTGTCTTTTATTAGAGTATCTCGATACAGATTTTTATTTCGATCGAAGTTCCAAGGTCCTTGGGATTTCTCCCTTCATATTCATAGTTACCAGATTTCATCCTATGAGATTAATGATTAAGTTAGTAAAAAAAAATCCGTTGAAAAAAAAAAGGGATCCAAATTGGAAAGCTCACTCCTAGTAGTTTGAAAATTATAACGCTAAAATCCGGGTTTTTATAGCTGTATGTGCTTAACAACAAACAAACAAATAAACCAAACTAGAAATTAAATATTAAGGTCAATATTATTTATTTACTCTTACCTTCTGTTATAATATTATGAACAAATGATTTAACCCCAAACTGTGCACCACGAAAAATAACAGACTTAAAAAACAAGTCAACAAACAAGTAAGCAAAAAACGTAAATCATATTCAAACCTCAACCCACTAGTACTACTAATAATAAACACATTATGCAACAAAGACATCAGATGTAAGAAACAAAACATAATTTATCAAACACAAACAGAGGCTGAAGCACCAGGCATGATACGATATGTCAATCAAAGACTAAAACACTGGGAAAGATGAAGTAAAACGAATATTAAAACATTGATTCAAATGATAAATACAATTAGCAGAAAGTAACTTACTGCCAAAGAATGGCTCAGTACATACAATTAGTATTCAGAAAGTAACTTACTGCCAAAGAATGACTTAGTACATACAATTAGTGTTCAGAAAGTAACTTACTGCCAAAGAATGACTTAGTACATACAATTAGTGTTAAAAAAGAATGGAAGTGTTAAGAGGTTACTGTGTGTTCGTTGCTAGCGTCTGGATATGTTATGAAATTTTATGGGAGGTGGCATGAAACACTGTTAGAAAATAACAAACAATGGTGGCATTAGTTTGGAAAAAATGTTTTGTATCAGTTTCAACTGAAAACTGATTTAGGATCTTATAACTTCCATCGTTTTCTGATTCTCTCAATAATGGTCTGCAAAAAATATTTTCAGACAGCTGGTGTTCATAAATCAGCTGTATGTGCTTGAATTGGTAACACCACACCTTTATTTTATTGAAGTGGTAAAATGGAGCTCATGGAACAAAATAGGAAAGATATACTTAACGGGGACTAAGTTTGGAAATAAAGTCTGATCGCTTAAATCTTCAACAAAAGGCTGGCCTAAGGGAAATAAAATCCAAACGTCAACCAACTGGAGATGTCAAGCAGTTACAATACTACACACAACTGAGCACGAAAAATGTAGACTGAAACTTCGTAAAACTGTACATAATGAACACGGAAAATACGAGACATAAGTAACAGGTTAGAAACTAGAAACGAAGATACAAAAATTATGGAGTAAAACATAATAGAACAGTATACACAAAATAAAATCTAGGATAGGAACATAGAAAAAAGTGATAGAAAATCATTCATTAAAACACGTAATGGAATAGATAATAAACGATATATATGAAATACCAGGTCTGGTTCCACAGCTCATCTAACTGCGGGGGGGGGGGCAATGGAGCTTTTGATGTTTCATCTTAGTAATTTAAAACAGTAATAGGTTCTTTTAATTGATAATATAATTTTATAAACAGCTTAGGAGAATGAACTAGGGTGGTCCAGAGTGAGGTTTGGGGGGTGCACGGCCCACCCCATCACACACACACCCTAACGCTGGCTCTATGAAACACAGGCTAAAACACCAAACAACAGGACATAGACAACACATACTGAAATTCTGGACAACAGATATAATGAGCTAATATTAAAATAACCAAACAAGATATAGCCAAAAGAGGTTGATACAAGACAATAGGATATAACAGACACGAATTTATACCTTCGAAAACAGATATAATCAACTGAAACTATAACATCAGAAGAGATACGTTGATACCAAATAACATGATATCTAATACAGGTTGAAATCCCCTGAAAACAATCAACATATCAAAACACCACATAGTATATAGCTAAAACCAAATTTTAAAAATCAGGCTACAGAATATAACCAAAACAGTTTGAAATCCTAACAATAGATATAATTAACACAGAATGAAATATATAAAAAAAGATACAGCCACATTTTTTGAAACATTAAATAATATAATGATGAAGTCGTAGTTCCTAAAAAATAGAAGATAACCAACACAGC